CAGCATTAGTTCCTGGTAAGTACAGTGCATATCCCACAATTTTTAGTGCATTATTGTATGGAACATGGTTTGTTTCAAAATGATGAAATATTTCTAACCATTTGTTCTCTATTGTGATTTTTTGCTGATGCCCAAGATTTAACCTTTTCCTTATCAATATATTTTTTTAGTAATGATACCTCATAAGTTGTATACCTCAAGGCCAGTGCTAGACTTTTTGCCTCCACTATGAAATATAAATAATACGAGTGCTATCTGCTAAATTCATGAAATAAATAAATAAATAACTTAACTAAATTATCTGAATAGCTGATGTGTTGACATCACTTGTTTAACTAGCACTAGCATGCAGTACAATGTGTATCATCTGAGAGACAGTTACAAAATGTTTTTGTCATTGCCAATGCCAAAAAATGCCATTGTGCATTAAGTCCAAACAATGGTGATCGAATTCTAACAACTGATCAACAATGTGAACTTTGATAAGCAGTTCTCGATAATTAGTTCTCAATAATTATTTGTTATTATTAAAGTTTGACATTATAAATTAACAAAAATAATATAAAACTCATATCCAAATAGCCATATGGCAGCTGAATACCATATATTCCCTTCCCGTTCTCCCACCGTTCCCTAGCTTGTTGTGCATTCTTTCCAAAAATAGGGGCTTGGACGCAGGACGCGGGACAAATTGTTAAAAATCAGGACTGTCCTGCCAAAAGCAGGACGTCTGATCACCTTATCCTAATACCTAAGCAGTGGGGCAACCACCCAATGGCCAGGGAATGGAGAGGCCTTCTGAAATGCAGAATCGGTGATTCGGGTTTCTGCCTTCTGGGGAGGACATTGCTATAGCGATAAAGGTGAAATATATCTGTAACTACACATCACTTGAGGATTGGGAGGGGGTGGTTTGTTTTTTTGTTTTTGTTTTTTTTCAGTTTTTTGGCCAGGGCTGGGTTTGAACCCACCACCTACAGTATATGGGGCCGGCGCCCTACTCCTTTGAGCCACAGGCAGCGCCCTCTTGGAGGTTTTGTTAAAATGCAGATTCTGAATCTGTAGGTCTGAGGTGGGACCTAAGAGTTGGCATTTCAAGTCCCAAGGATAGGATTCTACTGGTGTCATCTATCATCTATATTTCTCTTTAGAATTAATACAAAATTTGGGAGAAGAAATTTTGAGACTATGTAAACATTCAATTCCTTGTCAGATATTCAGCCAGTTTTCCCACTCATTCATGGTCTGGATTGACTCAGATATTCTATAAGGGTGATTTTTTTAAAACTCCCTGGTTCTTTTCACATTTACTAATTGGCATTCTACTTTCAGAAAGAACTTTGCTTTCTCTTCCATTCATTACATTCATCTACTTGTTTAGTCTCATATGGACTCATGGATTCTTATTCCATGAATAAATGTCCATTACAGGCATTGCCCCAGTATTGGCTAGAGGGAGCCCCTTCAAGCTGGCTCCTATGTCCACAACCATTTTAATTTTTAGAATTTTCTCACTTTCTAGCACAACAAAAGGTTGCAGTCTCATTAGACCTCTCCTGCCCTTGCCTTAGTGTCAGTCATTTCTCCAAGGAGCCCTGATTCCTTGTAAGTGATAAAGACTACTAAAAAAACAACTTCACAGCCAGTGCCTGTGGCTCGGTAGGTAGGGCACTGACCCCATATACCGAGGATGGCGGGTTCAAACCCAGCTCTAGCAAAACTGCAACAAAAGATAGCTGGCGTTGTGGCTGGCACCTGTAGTCCCAGCTACTCAGGAGGCTGAGCCTAGAGAATCGCCTAAGCCCAGGAGTTGGAGGTTGCTGTGAGCTATGACACCACAGCACTCTACCAAGGGCGATAAAGTGAGACATTGTCTCTTAAAAAAAAAAAAACAATAACAACAACTTCATGCTTAGCATGCTCATTGTTGCTACTGAAGTATTTTTGCTTCAGTGGTGGAGAGAGCTATGAAGTCTATTTTTTTCTATGTCTATATCTATCTGTCTACTGGTTTTTCCCTCCTTTTTTAATATTTATTTTTATTTATTTATTTTTGAGACAGAGTCTCTCTTTGTCACCCATGGTAGAGCGCTGTGGTATCATAGCTGACAGCAACCTCCAACTCCTGAGCTCAAGTGATCCCCTTGCCTCAGCCTCCTGAGTAGGTGAGACTACAGGTACTACCACAATGCCTGGCTAGTTTTTCTATTCTTAGTAGAGATGGGGTCTTCTTGTTGCTCAGGTTGGTCTCAAACTCCTGACCTCATGCAATCCACCCATCTCAACCTCCCAGTGTTAGGATTACGGGCATGAGCCACCATCCCCCACCTGAGTATTTTTCCTTCCTTAAACTGAAAAGTGGAGTGGGAAGACAAATTGGAAAAAAATCCAGAAAATGTTAAGTTGAGAGAGGATACCTGGGAAGGGCGAGGTTTAGGAGAACAGAGGTCTTCTGAAGGAGACCCCAATGATACACCTTCAATATCCTTCCCACACTGGCTCAGCTCTTAGGAATTTGCAAAAACTTAACTTCCTGGGACTTGGAGGCTGACACTTGTTTCTGCTTTGGTGAAAGCCCACGATTCTGCAAAAGCCAGATCCCACTTCTCCAGCTTGATTCAAACCAACCAGTGAGAAAGGTACTTGTGGGCTGGAATTTTTTGACCAGAGATAAAAAGAGAAAGACTGAGCCAGATGGGGATCATGGCCATTTTGAATTCTTCTATGCCTGCGGTTTGCTCTGCTGGCTGAAATAAAAACCCTTCCTCTTATAAATATGGTGTTTGGGTGCTCTTTCTCTCCATTGGGCCTGTCTTCCTGCAACAAAGGGTGGATTCTAAACCTTTATTATTCACTGGGATTTTGGATTTAAAACGTGTAAACTTCAGCCATATGGAGTCAGTCAGGGGTGAGCTGTGTGGTAGGCCATTTCATGGCAATATTCTACCCTAATAGCAAATATTTATTAAACATTTACTGTGTGCCAGGCTAAGCGTCTTATATGTATTTATTATCTCTTCTAATTCAATTATTATGAGGTGTGTTTTTTTTTTTTCTACAGATGAGGGAACTGAGGCTCAGAGAGATTGAGTGATTTGCTAAAGATCACACAGCTAGTCAGTGGCAGAACCAGGACTGGAACTCAGTCAGTGTGATCCTGGCATCTGCATGCCTACAGGTATGATTCACTGCCACTCCTAACTTACGATCAGGCTTCATCGCCTCCAGCTCTAGAAATCTAACTAATAGCAAATCCAGGAGCATCAACCCAACATAAAGTGGTTTCTTGCTTAAGTAATAAGGAGTGGAATATTATGTCAGTGCTAGCAAATCCTCTGACCATAGCTGCAGCACCAGCAGTTTCCTTCTTTCTCCTCCCCAGGGCTTTTCTGTGTTTTTTTGTTAAATAAATGAGTCTATTCTATGTCATAGGTGGCTCTGACTGTACCTTCTAACCTCACAATAGCACAGCTTGCTGGGTGCTCAGAGCCCTTGCCAGCTCAGTTATTTCCTTCCTACTCAAGGGTGGAATATGTTTGTTAGTAACAAGCTCTTAGCCACCTTTAACTACCAATGGATCAAGCTTCTCTCTGGCCTGATAACCCCTAGGACCTATTGTCTGACTAGTACAACTGGAGAGCTCTAGAAATAAGTCCATTTGAATAGCCAAGAGCTATTGGCAAGTATGTATTCATTGATTCTTTTGGGAAGAACCCTGAAATTTATGTCTTGAAATAAATTTAAGTTGGTTAGAATATGTCTGTTTTTACAATTAGATTAAGTTTGTAAAATAGTATGACTCTTGTTTTGACGTTTCCCAGGGCCAAGGATGGAAACTGAGTACCTGAAGAAGTGCTTTGGAAATTGCCTGGCCCAGGCCCTGGCAGAGGTGGCGAAGGTTCAGCCCAGCGACCCAATAGAATACCTGGCACACTGGCTTTATCATCACGGGAAAACAACTAGAGCACAAGAGGTGTGTGTGCTGGCGCACTCGGTCTGCTTAGTGAGAGCTCAGTTTTCCCAGAGGAATTTGAAATCCAAGGAAGGATTCTAGAGCTGGGAGGGGGAGTGTTCTTGTTTATTCAATTTAGGAATATGACTTAGGCCCAGCTATTTCTGACAAGTGTGGAGTTTAGGGGATAAAAAAGGGAATCCAACTCAGAGGACTTGTGGAGTGGGTGGGTTTGGAGCTGCAGGCAGGCTAATGCTAGTTACAGAAGGAAATACAGCAGACCTGAGGACCAGGGCTCAAGTCTGTTGCAGCAGGGGGTATGGAGGTCTATCTTAGTATGTGTGTGTGTGGGGGGGGGCGGTATTTATAAGGCTTCCTGGTACTGACCCAATTCCACTCCACCATGTCACCCCAGAACTGGCAGAAGAAGAACCAACTGAAAGAGGAACATGCCAGTAGCCACAAGGAAAAGGAAATGACAGAAATCCCAAAGGAGGAGCAGCAGGTGCAACAGAAGTGTACATTGTGTCACCAGGTAGGGAGAAGGAACTCAGAGTTAAGCTCACACATATCCTGATGGTGGATTTCAGGAAATCTACAAGTCAGCACAGGCACAATGCGAGGCACACGGAGGCTCCCCTGAGCCTACTTTTACTCCGTATTCACATATAAACTAATCTTATTGACGATCTTTGCCAATAAAATCCTTGTCAGTGAAAAAAGAAAATTGTTAAAAGACAAATTCATTTTAGATTTCAAAGGAAATAACCTTTGATGTTACTAAATCTATTTACGTGGAACAAATATTTTTCCATACAAGATCCTTTGAGCCTTTTTCAAACATTATTCAATATTTTTCAGAAACCAAGTCTGGTTATCAATGCATACCTCAGATGTAGTACTTACTCGGTATTTAGGTTTTTTTATTCTATTTGTTTTTATGTCAAGCCTCAGATGCCTCTATGATGTTATAGTATTGGACATAAATTATTAACTTGGGATAGTTGGAAACAACTCTGCATTCATCAGTCTGACAAGCATATCCTTTACCTCGCGCAATTTTTTCCCACAATTTCCTGGAAAATGTCTTGTGCCATACTATGTTTTCTACAAAGTATGTGATATCTGACTTAATTGCAATGTTGGGCTTGATATCTGACATCTTTTTCACTATCACTATAGCCCATGCATTAAAATTGAATGCATTTCTATATAATTTACTAGCTTGAATGCATTTCTATATAATTTGCTAGCTTTTGCTAGTGAAAATGACCAAACTTCACTAGTGAAAAGGAGCCAGTTTGGAAGACATGAAAATATTAACTTTTTTGTATTTTATACTAATAGACTCAATGTCCTCATAGATAATTAATAGATTTACCAGTTAAGGCTGGGTTTTGTGAGTAAATTAAATCAAAAGAAAGATGATTTCATGCTACTGTTTGACAAGGGGACTCTCAAGAAGAATTCATTCTTTGAGCAATTTGGGGGGAAGTGGATGGGAGAGATGAGAATCATTAAGCAAAATGTGTCATCACCTTGCTGCCCTCTCTCGTCCTTTTCTAATACCATGCTTCATTGTTAACAGAAACAAAAATACATAGACAGGAAAAAACTCTCAAAACTCCATCCTCGCTTTATAGTGCCCTTATTAAATAAAATTGTGCTAATGCCAGTATTTTGAACTGTCTTTTTATATTGCACTCAGGAGTTTTTGCATTCTTTATCAATATTCCTTAGCAGATTCTAGCACTCTGGAAGTTGGA